GTTTATTTATAAATCATAGGTTCCATTGTAAAATTATATAATTAAAAAAAATTAATAATTATATGAGAAAGATCCTGACTTATGATAGGGCATAGTTAAAGCCTGTAAGCTATGTCCTTGATGTTTTTCTTCATGTCTTTCCACATACTTCTTGCTTCACTAATGTAGTAATGCTTTGCTCGCCCGGCCTCTTGTTTTTGAGGGGGGGGGGGAATATAAAATATAAAAAATAGGACGGCTTTGTTCTATGTGAACAAGCAACCTCTAATTAACTTTCCGCAATTTCAGGATCTTCCCATTTCCGCAATTTCAGGACCAGTACTTTCGAGAACATTCGAGCCTATTGCGTAACCGCTTCTATAAATAGAGAACTCGCGCCACTGTGTGTGCGAGACCGCTTCTGCCTCTACTGCTGTTAGGATCTATAGTGCTGCTCTCATCTCCCTCCCTTTGTTAGAATACTATGACGCAGTGAATTTAATCTTATTTAGTATAGAATGATAATATGCCTTTTGAATTGAATAAAGATATGCAGCTATAAATTTAACTTCTTCTGTGTCATCATTTCTGCCAAGCTTCATTCATGTGCGCGACTGCCAAAATATTACATATATATATATATATTATTGGACGTTATCTTCTACAGCGCATTCGAGCAGCCACAACATGCATGCAGTCTTACCTCATATTGTTAACGTTGTCTGACCCTGTGTATAGTAATTAGCTGGCGTATGCACATAAGAGGAACACAATATATATTTTTTTTAAATGTCTTCTGTGATTCTGTAAATTGGAATAGCACAATTTTGATATATGTATGGGACTGCGCAGCAGACGTCCGATCGTGTGCCTCTGTTACCTAAGTATCATTGTTAACTAAGCCTACAGTAGGCCCAGGAACACAGACTGGACCATGGATAGGTGGAAGATAGCTGCCTGATCGGATGAATCGTGGTTTCTCATTCAAGTCGATAGTCGGGTCAGGGTCATAAGGATGAATTCTATTTAATGTCCTGCCACCTAACTCACCGGATCCTAACCCGATAGAGCATATTTGGAATGTCATGGAGAAACAGCTCAGAGCTGAAACACTCGCATCCATGTCCCGATATTTCGACTTTGCGTGACCGCTGCCTGGACATTTGGTAGAATATAACTCCAGTTTTCTACCAAGAACTTGTGGTATCCATGCCAAGGCGAGTTGTAATATTTTTTCAGGCCAAAGGTCGTGCAACAAGTTACTGGGTAGGTGATCATAATGTTTTGGCTTTTTATTATAAACAAAGAATGTTTGTACAGAATCGAGAAGCTTAAAAAGAGGTTATGCGCAGAAGAAAATGTTACGAGGCCTTCAGATAAATTCGCCGAGGGAATTATTCTTGGCGCAAACTCAAAAAAAAATGCGCCAATATAAATTTTTAAATTTCTCACCAAAAATTACAAAATTTAATATCCAGGCATAATTTGTGTCGTAGAATCGAAATATGGAAAAACATTGGCATGCCATTTAAGATAAAGTTCGTTTCTGACTATATACAAACCTCTTTGTCATTAGCTAATAAGGAGAAAGAGGGGGGAAGGAAATTCTTTCTGTTATGCCTCGCGAGACGTGTGCGTCAGAATAAGAAGATTGCAATGTGCCTGTTGCGTGTATAATTAATAATATTTTATCTCATATTTTCAACAGTCAGCAGTCCAGTATACGAAGAATTGAATGAAAATCTATTGCCAAAACCACATTTCTAAAAGAAGGAACTGTTCAAAATGATGCGATTTCGTCAAAAAAGATAAAATTAAAAAAAAATCTGATTCGAATTTTGAAAAAATCGCTTCGAGGTGCACTGGCTGTTGTCTAGATGCACCTATGCACCAAATGTCCTAGCCTTGGATCTATTAGTTTACGCGCAGCACGAACGAAAGACATACACAGACAGACAGACTCTTTCTTTCATTATATGTAGAGATTCCTGGATAGGACAAAACAGTTACGGAATTGAATTATAGTCCTTGTGACGTGAGGAGCCTGCCAGCGACGGTTTCTCTAGCCGAGATTTCAAGAGCATTCTCAGGTCTTGTTCCTGATGGAAATCTACAGACTAATTTAGCCATGCCTCCCTAATTTTTCAGTAGTAGCTTGCATCCTCTGACTCATTATTTCTGGAACGATATCAGACGAAAAACAAGCTCACTAGTTTATCAGCCCTCCTGAAATCGAGAGGCTTTGACTACAGACACACTAAAATCTCTCCAATACAATTACTATAGAACACTAAAATCTCCTGACACTGGTCGTGAAGTTATGTCTCTTGTATTATCAACTGGAACGAATTATTGCGTCTGCTATGTCAGACTGTGTCATCTGGCATTTCATGAAAGATTGGAAACAGTGACTTGCGGGGACCGCAGACACGATTTTCTCATCTCTATGTGGTCCGCTTCAATATCATTATTTTCTAAGAAAGGGTGCTAAACTGGCTATTTGATTTTTGTGTTTTACTGCTTTCATTTGTGTGAACTTACGGAACAAGTTTGTTTACTTTTGGTTCCACTCGGGAAAAAGACCCTGAAATAGGTGCATCAACTGATGGAATGCACTATTCTGCTAACAGTTCCAAATGTAAAAAAATGGCGGCCTCATTAAACTTATCTTAAACTTTTAAATTGTTGATAAATCTGCAATTATTAATTACGGATTAACTAAAGGTATACAAATTTTAACCTCAAGTTAAGAACAACGTAATCCAATCACTCTTAAAGCCAAAAATGCACAAAGTGTGGGTATAAATATATAAGTAGAGACTGATAGATAAGTAGTATAGTTATAGATATAAATATTTTTGGAGCACAAACTGCATGTTATATCACTTCCATGTACAAAATTTCAACGTTCTAAGACTGCTCGTTTTTGAGTTATGCGAGATGCATAGGTAAGTACAGACGTCACAAAAGCATCTCTTCTGAATCCGTTTTAAATCCATTTTACAATACGTTTCAGAAAAAAAGAGTCCTTTATTTTGTCCGTCTTACGAAAAAACATTTTCAGGTGGATTCGAGAGTGGTGAAATTGGACATTTTCGTTGAAAAATGATTAACCAATTTTTTTTTCGAAATTACAATATTTCCTCTACTTGGTACATGAAAGTAAAAATTTAAAAAATGGACATCAGTCAATAATGCTAGTCTCGAATGAGTTACATTTAGTCTCTTTTTCTTCATCAAAATTAGATGCAGTTATTTTCATTTATTTAAAACTCAATTCTTCTCAGTTATTCTGCTACTATGTGCACTTTCGGGAAACAATTTTTTTAATGCTGCCGCTTTATTAAACTGTTACTTAAATTAAAATAAAATGCAATAATCAATACAAATGAATGCTCTGAAAAATTAAAATTCAGGTACTTGAGGAATCTATCATATAATGATGATTTATTTCGTTTAGAAGAGTGGTTTTTTTTTTTTAACTTTTGTCAAGAGGCATAAAATTAATATATATATATATATATATATATATATATAAATCTGAAAGATTTCAGATTTTACATAACGCCGCGTTTTTTTAGCATTTTGTGTGCTACTTTTATTTATTAAACATCATATTCTTCACACTTAAACCCTAAAATTCAGTTCAACAGCAGTATCGCAAAATAATTTTAAAATGAGCATATCTTTAGAATTTCCGATACACAGTCTCGCGCGCTGGAGATATTTTTTTTCCGTGCAGTATTGCCATTCCTCGCTTTGAAATCGTCGAGTTTCTTAATCAAAAATGTTTTAATGTCTGGCAAATTATGAAATAGATAATAAAACAAATTCAAAATTCAAAATTAAGGCTTCAAGATGCACATATTCGCTGGAGGATTACGTTATTCAAAATTTGATGGCTCTAAGTACCGTTGTTTGATCACAATGCGAGAAACATATATATATTTATGTATATATTTCGTTATTTAATTTCTTTAAATATAATTCAGACCTGTAATATTTGGTGGCAACAGTTTGAAACGTGAATAATCGTAGAAAGTGAATCGACGCAAAAGGCCAATTAATAGCCCTTTTGGGCTGGATAATAGATTGCTATAAATACGAAAGTGATAAATGTATATTTACAGGTTGCAGTTTGTGTATATTTACAGGCTGCAGTTTTGAAATTTACCTTTTTCAGCTGATATTTTCTAATTTGGAAGCAATTTTTCGTTAACGAGACAATTTCCCAAACAAAATTTTCTTAGCATGTTGTAAACAACAAGAAATAAAGGAGCACTTTTAATAGCACAGAAAACATGAATTAACTGATAGTAACACTAAGTGCATAATGTAGTAATTCCTGCAATTAGTTCAGTACATTTTAAAGAAAAAGAGACTTTATAATTTTAGAGAAAATGTTTCGTGACTTTATGTTCCTTTAATTTGTACTTCGTTTTTATCTTCTAAAATTAGGTTATTTTTAAACTTTGTGTTTTAGCTTAAATCTTTTCAAGTATTTACTGTATCATATTCCTGTATTAATGAAATTTATTTCATAAAGTTCTGTGATGCAATTGATCAACCACAAGTTTTATCTGTTAGAATTTCTAAGCACATTACTTTCCTATTAAAAACCGCGAAATCACTATATTCAAAATACTTCATTCTGACTTGCATTTAAGCAGCGGTGTTTTTTTCTTTCTTGCTTTGTTTTTTTTTTTTTTTTGTCTTTTTTTTTTTGCCACCGCGACGTAACGCTTAAATCAAACCACCCTATTTTGTGGATAGAAAAAAAAACCATAATAAACAAACAAAAACAGAAAGATGAAGGGAAGAGGGAAAAAAAAAAAAAAAAAGACTGGCTACTGCAATCGATACACGATAGACAGAGACGGACCAACTAGATCTTCCCGCCACGCCCCTGTTAGATTCGTGGTTCGGGAGCTGGCGCCCCCTAACGGCCAGGAATCACCGGCACCTGTTGAGCAAGGTGTTGCTACAGGCTGCGTTGAGGAGATAGGCAGATAGAGAAAGAGTGTGGGGATAGAGATGCGGGGGAAAAATAGAAAGAAGGAATGAAGAGAAACAGTTCAGTTTGGGATGTGCCCCTGAGACTCACGCTCTTCAGTAAGAAGTTTAATGAAGGATTGAGAAGCACGTGTTCTGGTCCAGCTGCTGTGTTTGTTTGCGTTTTAATGATTCTCTCCGAAATACTGATGAAGTATTTTCAGTAATTTCTATGAAATTATTATCTTCATTTTTATGATGAATGAACATTTATATCTATGATTTCTGGAAACTGTTTTGTGTCCTAATATATAAGAATCTTTGCTGTTTTGAGAATTGCTATTTGCCAAAGATGTTGCAGATTTTCTGATGTCCTATAAAAGAAGTGCTGTGTTTAAAGAAAACGAAACAAAAATGGATATTTATTAGGAAAGTTATGAATATAAGGCAGCACTTTTTTCCTCTCCTTTTTCAAGAAGATAAAGCTGAGTTTTCATTTAAAAAGGAACACTATCGCATTTTAGAACATTTCAGACCCTTGTTTAAAACAAAGGGGAGAAATACTCTTATACTTAAATTACAATATTGAACACTATGGATTTTTTGTTTCTACCAGTTTTCAAAAAGGTGTCTCTTTGAATTGCAACAAACTTCTACTTAAATTTTGGGAGATGATAACCAGATTTCACTGCTGAACGTCTATGCTGAACCATAGCATATGCATTCATTAATCAGTACTTTATACAAGTGCCTCGAAATTATACAAAACTATAAATTGCTTATAAACTATATAAACTATAAACTGGTTATTTATCTTTAGAGGATGATTATACAATGAGCAAAGAGAATCAAAATATATAGGAATTTAATAAGAAATATTTTATAAAATCAAACAAAATATTACATATTTATCAACCAATCAATGAGCTTTCTTTGAGCGAAAATCAAAAGAACACAATAGTGATAAAGGGAAATTGAATTAATTACTTTGGAAAGTGTTAAAAATGTTACAATAGACTATTAGTATTAGAACTTGAGTTTACCTAGAGCTTAGTTATGGAAACTTGCGTGTTGATACCTGCAGAGTTTAGTCTTGTTTTGACAACGTCTCCAACCACAAAGAAGCCATACACTGGAGCATCAGTTTGGAGCAATCAACGTATTTCAAGAGGCTCAAGATTTTTGCCTTTCCAAGGCACTGTTAGGTTGGACAAGCTAGAGATCTATTCGAACCTCGACGACAATGATGTAAGTACGATTTTTTAAAAAAGATTTATTATTATTTCAAGACAACTTTGGATGTTCTTTAAATACCTGAGCATATTTCAAGTATCGCCATAGGAAGATATGTTTCTTACAATTTAAGATTAGCAGATCGTCGTTTAATTTTTATTTCTATCCACTGGTATATTTTGTTAAAAAGGTAGCATTGAATGTATTAATGAATTTCTTTTTTGCTTTCATTTATGTCTGTTGAGTTAATTCAGGTACAGATCGCATACACTGCGCTTTGAAAAATGAATTAACTATCATACATTAAAAATTTATCATACATTTAAATTAAACTAAATTAATTGTAAAATATTGAACTTAAATTTTAATTCTGTAACTGCGATGATCTTATGAGTCATTTGTAAGAATTATGGAAATGATTAATGTCTCCACTGTTTTTCCACCATGCTTTTTAACAAAAATGTAAATTATTATTAAAATATAGGTATATTTTTAATTTACATATTTACTGAGATCAAATTCTGCACGTCCCAATTTATCAGACGATGTTCAGTGTTACAAAGTTTGCTAAATGTTCGCATTTAAATTAGTTTGAATTTTATTTAATTATCGACTCTTAAGTAATGGAGTTTTACAAAATAATAAATTATTATTTAGGAAAAATGCATGCTAGTTTGTGCCAAGAGAACTTAATACAGAGAAAAGTTTTAATTTTTAAAGAAATTACACTTTTCTTTTTTGCTTCTGTCAGAGAAAAATTATTTTTTACATTTTATTTTTCATTATGTTTTGGACAGTCTTGTATATTATAAAATTACCACTTCTTGAAATCTGTTTCTTCACAGACTGATTGATACAAATTTTATATTTAATCATTAAATTTCAGTCTTTCCGTTCCCCAGTGGAATTTTCTTTAATTTTTCAAATTATGTTACCTATTTTGGGTTTTCTCTGTCTGAGTTACGTTCGGTTGCATTATCAAGTTTCACGCATAGTTAGCACTGATTGATGCTAATTATCAAATTAACTATTTCAAATTTGTTATGCTGATATCTATTTAAAAGGTGAAATAATGAATATCCCACTTCAATTAATTGTGAAGTGTATATCTATTTTGAGCTGTTCTTATTTATGCTAATAGCATAAAAGTGTGAACAGCATAATGTATAAATATATACATATGAATTCTTTCTATGTTTGATGTTAGTCTACATCTAAATTCGTTATACAGAAATATATATAAAAAAAACTTACGATTGATTGATTTTTAAGCTTCATTTCATTTGACAAGCCAGAATAAAATGTGACAATATAAAATAATAAACACTTATGCTGATAATTACGTAACTTCTAAGTTTAAATTTTTAAATCTGTTATAAACTTAAAAAGATTTAGTAGTCCAAGCAATAAATTTTGCTTTCTACAAATAAGGAAATGTGTTTATTTCGATTCAGAACTCAATTTAATTAATTTCAATATTATTGATTCAGCTCATTTTTATTTCATTGTAGCGTTTTCTATTGTTTTTAATGAAGGATAAGCTATTTTAGTAATTACGATTTATTTTATAATTCTGTTTATAAGTTTCTAAATGATTACCCTAAATTCCAAAACGTTTAAAACAGAATACAAATTTTAAAAATCATAACTGAACATTTGATACTTTTTTAATTTAATTTAATTTTAAGGCGTTAAAAATGTGATTTTCAGATTTGAGATATGCTCTATAAAACATAAAATATTTAGGTATTTTAACGTGGCAAGGCCACATAGTCGTGGTTTAAAAGAGATATTTTACTGATTAGAGATTCGCGATAATTTCATTCTTTCTAGAATTATTAAAACTGAAAATTAATTTAAAACTATAAAACTACAGAGAAAGTACTTCGGTATTATACTTTATAATCTATGCCTCAAATGTCCTGAAAGTAGTTGCTTGAACCTTCTCAAATGTTCTTCTTTATCAAATGTCCTGAAAGTTGTTGTCCTGAAAGTTGTTGCTTGAAATACATAGTCAAGAAAAAGAGATTCAAAACAGTTTAAGTTTCTAGCAAAATTTTATATAAAAGTTTGAAATTTGCATATTTTGGAAAATATTACCAATTTAGCACAAAATTAAAGTCAGGCTGTACCATATTTGTTTTATATTAAGCGATGTTCCTTTCTAAAACGTAATGAAATCTCTCCCTGCATTAAAATTAACGTTTTACAATCTTCAAAAATTTGTTCCTTGAAATACAAATATATAAAAATTGTTAAAACTAATGAGTTTGCGTACCTCAAATGAGAAACATTACTTACATTAATTCCTAAAGATATACTACATTAGATGTACATAAAACTGTGTATCATAGCAAAATTTTATATTCATTTGCATAAATCTCGCTAATTCTTCAGATGATACATGATTTACCATGAATAGCTTTCTGCTAAAAAAAAGTAACGGATTTATATTCTTAACAAGTATATACCACTTGTACTCTTCCCATATATCCATGTTAATTTTGTCCAAAATATATTGATAGAAACTATCTGGGAAGAACTACATGTTGATATGAACTATCAAAATAACTATACACCGATATGAACTATCGAATAGAAAACTATACTCCAATTAAACAGACAGAAATCCAAATGAACGAAATCATTTGGTCGGCCTAAACATTACGTTGTGTACATAATTCGGTTTTAAAGAATTGAAAAGTTTCAATAATATCGATATAATCTTAACGAATCATCGTAAAATCTGCTCTTTGGAGGATTTCGAGTGATTATCGTAATTTAGTTTTTTGTAAGTGTTGAGATAAAAAAAGCGTTACATCCAATCAGTATTTCTCAAGAGAGAGTTAAACGGATTATTGGAAAAGATGGATAAATCCTTCTTTTCCAATAATTATTTGGTTTATTGAAAGGTTTAATTTTTGCATAAATATCTGAGTTTTCACTCGTAAATTCGCAAGCAGTGAAAATACAATTATATTTATTGATAAAGAAGTAAGAAATATAGATTAAAATCTTCCAAGTTAAAAGTCTTCTCTTGTTAAAAATAAATAAAATCTTCTCTTTATAAAAGTACACGCTTTTGTACTATTTCCAGTTTTTTTCATTCATTACTGTTCAACCTTTCATTTAATACTAGGATTAATACATCACGTCCAATACGGGCATCTATATTTGAAACACAGTTTATGTCTAACACCTGTTAACAGGTTACTAGACATAAACTGTGTTTCAAATATAGATACCCGTGGTGTATTGGTTGTGGTGTGGGTAACAGAGACTAATACTCTGAGTACTGTTAACAGTACTCAGAGTATTAGTCTGACTATTAGAGTAAAATCAGTGATTTTTTTAAAGAAAGTACATTTTTTTATAATCAGTATTCTCCTAAATTTTATAAATAGGAATTTTATTTGGAAATTAATTTATGAAAATATTAAAAATTAAATTTTTTAATCATTATTTTCTGTCTGCTACTAACTCTTAAATGTATTACTAAAATAACATTAAACAGAATGTAATTTTATTCCAGAAATTAACTTCAAAGTAATTCCTGGAGCAGATTTAGACAAGTTAATTCTCAAATAACAAAATACTTCTTAGCTTTAGTATTTATAAAACATATAAGTATTTATAAAATGAATATGTACATAAGAGCGCATGCAGTTTTAGGTTTTGTTATTTCTGTTTCATTTAAACAATTTTAAATCAACTCAAACTGACAATTTAGATTTTCTATGCTTTTCCGGAAATGATCTTTCACTCCTTTCAAGGGGCCCACCAGCGGCCGAGCGGTAATGACGCTGAACACTGGTAGTTCGGTCTGAGGTTCGAATCCCGCGAACGGGCTGGCTGCATGGGCGTTTTCGTGGTTTTCCCCATGAGTAATGTGTATACGAGCTAGTTTCCCTTAGAAAGTCCTCGACGAAGGCATCCCTCCCTTTAGGCAGATAGCCCTCGTGTGCTTTGCCATAATTGAATAATCTAATCTAATCTAATCTAATCTAATCACTCCTTTCAAACTCGCCAACAGCTGAGCGAAAAAAACGCAGAACATTAAGAGTTCGACTTGTATTCAAATCTAAGCAAATGGGCTGGCTGCATGGGATTTTGCGTGGTTTTACTCATTGCTTAAAGTGAATAGAGTCAGATTTCCTTATAAAGTCTTACCACGACAGCACCCCTCCTTTTAGGGATATTTCACATGATTTACCGTAATCCAAGTAATACAATGCAGTCTTTAAAAGGACCATCTCTTCTAATTATGAAAAAAATATATTGTGTTTTTCTATTGTTTATAATATTATATAACTATATTACCCCGCTTTCCAGTATCAACGTTTTTGAGGTTTTCAAATCAGATAAACGCTTCTGATCTGAAACTATTTTCATATAACTGTAGGTCATTGCAACAAAAGTAAGAATCCAATCACAGATGATTATGAAAAATGTTCTTTTTAGGAAGTTATCCATTAAAGCATTCTTTTCTTTAAGCAAATAGCCGTTGAGTGATTTGTCATAAAAAAAAAGTAATATAACTGACTAGAAAAAATCCGGAAACATTCAGATTTTATATTACGCCCAAAGGGGTGTTTTGTTAACGTTTTGTGTGTTATCTTTATTTATTAAATGTCACGTTCTTCGCACTTAAACCATAAAAGTAAATTCAACAGCAATACCGCAAAATAATTTTAAAATGAGCATATCTTTAGAATTTCCGATACAGAGACTCAAGCGTCGGAGATAAAAATGTTTTTTCTGTACAACGTTGCCACTGCTCGCTTTGAAATCTTGGGTTTGTTAATAAAAAATTCGTTAACGTTTTGAAAAATAAGAAGTCGATAATAAAACAAATTCCAGATTTGGGCTTACAGATGCCCATATCCGTGGGGAGAACTACGTTATTCAAAATTGGGTGTCTGTAGGTACCATTGTTTTTTCACAGTGCTGGAAATATACATAAATTTATGCAGATTCTTTATTATTTAAAAATGTAATGCAGTGTTCTAATATTT